GGTGATTTTTGATCGTCAAGGCGATGGGGAGGTTGGAGGGGGGGGGGGAATTGTTTGCTGGAGGGAGGGAGGGAAGGCTGGGGATGGGATGGGCATTTACGCTGATTAGGTGTTCAGTGGAGATGGGTATACCGGGTTGAGGTTGAGATGGTACGATCTAATTCATGTGTATAGGTTCGGTTCTAATCATGCTTGTATGTGCTATGGAAGTTCCTCGGCGGGGTTTGATATCGGCTTGCTGGGCTGTTTGTAGGACTGCAGATTGCCCTGCGTGAGTATGAGTATCTGCACGTCTGTAAGATCAACGGAGGGTTGGACTCACCTTGGCCAAGGCCCAGAGATAGGGCACGTGGATCACCTCGCTCCGCGCTTCTCCCCCATCCGCGCCCGCCACATTCACCCATACATTTCCCATGATCAATCCCGTCAGCAAGCTCACGCCCACGATCGGGAGAATCGCGATGAACGCCCACATGATCGCGTCCTTCCCTGCGACCCGGACCGCCGCTTGTGCAGCGGCTGACAGCCCATCCAGCATGGACAGGGAACTCTGGTCGTGGACGTTCAGCGTCGTACCGCCGCCGCCGCCGCCACCGCTGAGCCCCTGGACGGCTGCGGAGTGACCGAACTTGTTGTTGAACACGCTGGTCATGATGGTCAGGCCGATGGTGCCGCCGAACGGCAACGAGACCTGCATCAGGGACATGGCGGGGGCGATCCTCTCGGGCCAGACACCCACGGTGTGCAGCGAGGAGGGGACCAGCCGGAGTCCGATGCCCGCTCCAGTGACGACCATCATGCCGCTGAGGAGACTGGTGTTCCCGGCGCTGATGGCGTACGAGATCACCGCCAGCCCGAGGGTGCTGAGGACTGCACCCAAGGTGAGAGGGAAGAAGGTCTGTCGGGGGAAAATGTTGCACATGTATACGGCGGAGTAGACGCCTCCTGAATCACACTGTTAGTGCATTGAACAGCGGTGTGAGCCGGGGGAGATGCGCTGTACCTCCTAGACCCGGAATGTAGTATAGAAGCTCGAGGCCGGACTTCGACGTGGAGTATCCTGCCACGAGGATGTAGTAGATGCTGATGAAGTAGAAGATGGAGTATGACGCTGATGAAGTCAGTGACCACCACGATTTCACGAGCGAAGGATGCCAGGCTTACCTGCTCCCGTCGCGAAGTTCAGTATTGCCAGCCAGATTGTATCTCTCCGTTCAAAGAGACTGGATGGCAGCACTGCAACATGCCTGGGGAATATTCTGGCAAACAGTCTGCCAGGCTCGAGCAGATACTCGTACAGGAAGAATGCCACGAAGCAGATTGAGCCCACGATCAACGGCGCCAGAACCTGAGGTGACGACCACGAGTATGTCGCACCTCCCCAGGTAGTCGCCAGGATGATGAGGCCCACCCCAAAGATAAAGAGGATTGATCCTCCGAGATCCACTGTCGCAAGAGCCGGAAGCACAGATGACCATCTGGAGCCCTTTTTGAACATGGACCCCTCAACGAGGTCGTGTCGTAGCAACACATAGACCAGAATATGACTCAGTACAGCAATCTTCCTATTCGATCAGCACACCTGCACTTCCAGAAACCGGGTCTGCGGGCTCACCGGAATAGGAACCACAAAACAGTATCTCCAGTTCGTCTTCTACACTGTCAGCAGCTGTTTCACCTCCGTGTGAATCCAAGAGACTCACTTGAGTTAGATACCTAACCCTCGGTGATTAGCGCACCGCGCCCAGAAGAGCAGAGAAAGAGAGAACATACCCTCCGACAATAGGACCCACCGCGTAGCCCACACCTCCAACCAGCGTGAACAAAGACTTGTTCCTTGCATTCTCCTTTAACGAGACCTTATCCGCCAGGATGATCATGATCAAATTCCCCAGCCCCGCGGATCCGGTGCCCTGCAACGCCCTGCCCAGCAGCAGCATCCCCCACGTCTGCGCCGCTGCGCACAGCACGCTCCCAATGAGCATGAGAAAGAGCGCCGTCTGCAGCACCCAATGCCGCCCAAAGACGTCGGCTAACTGACCGAAAATTGGGATAAAGGTCGTCGATGTCAGGCTGAAGGCGGTGACGATCCAGTTCAGCTCATCGAATTGGTCTGTCGTCCAAGATTAGAACTTGCCTGCTGATCTCTGAAACCTTGATGAGAGGGAATACTGACCAAAGTGCGACGCGATGACGGTGGTTGCAGTGGCCACGATAGTCAAGTCCAGGGTGGACAGGATGAACGGCAGAGCGAGACCGGCGATGAGTCTCAGTCGATACATGCGCCGCTGGCGCGTCTGCTCATGACAGATACTGCATTTCTCATTGAGCTCTGGAGGGTTGAGTGCTTCAGCTGAGTAGGTGGTCGATCTATGCGCCGAAGACTCGAGATCTTCATTGCCCGCAACAGCTGGCTTGGGATGGTGAACTTGGGAGCGATGCAGACAGGGCTGCTCTGACGGAGGGGGAGTCGAGCCACGCCGTTTCTGACGGAGGTATCTAATGGCTGTAATGATCATTTCATACAATAGGTCCTTGTCAGGGTACTGGAAGAGTGAAACAGTAGTTTCTGCATGTCGAATTGGGAAGTGTTAAGGTAGGAAGCAGCACTTATATAGGCAGCTTGTGTCCTGCCTATACTAGCACGAGGAAGCTGCCTGAAGCCATTTCATCTCGACATAACTCCATACGGTCAGGATCGCGAGTTTGTATCCAGATTTGTGGCGATGCTGGAGACCTGCGCTCGATAGCTGGGCCAGTGCTGAATGTCCCGATTGGGCAAGTGTCACGGACGGCATCTGATTCACCCGCATGTCTTTCCCGATCCGGCAAGGGTTGCGAAAGGCTTAATCTCAGCCTCTTGGCGCCTGAATCTCCAGGCAGCCACTGTCTTCACTCAGGGCCTCGACACAATTTCCACTTCAGGATGATGGCTGCACAGCCAATCTTTCTCGCAGAGATCAGCCTCGTGTCAGCCACAGTCTAAGCCGCTCGACGTCACTCACCGTCGCAGGGGCTCTCCGGACTGAAGCCTGTGTGTAGTTGTCTAGCTGTGCAGACCACGACATCGTCAAGCGTGTGATGTCCAGCTGTGTCATTCGTCCATGCAGACATGCAGACCACCGCCTGACACATCTCGGTTTCATATCCTGGCCCAGTAAAATGAGAAAACCAAGCAGTCGCAGGAATGAACCAAGTATACAACAGTTACCTCGACGGTCAGCCCATGAAACCCGCAGAATTTCTGCTACTGCACCACAGAACTAGAATCGATCCCTATGTCCCTTTCAAAAACGGGGCAAAACAATCACCGACATCTCTAACAATGCCAGTGCGCTGCTCTGTTCCTTAACTTAACTTATCTTGCATGACAACGATTGCCTCCGGGCCTCCGTCGGCGTAGACTAGACAGCACGCAAACCCCGCATTATGAGCGTAGCACATGGCCACGGCCACACCACAGCAGGGAGCCAATGAATCAAACGCCTAGTCAGTTCCAAACGGGTCTGTCAGCATCCCATCCCATCCCAGGACTCTGCCAAGTGAAACCAAAACCAAAAGCCCATACACTCACAACGTAAACACGAAACAACTTCATTTCCCCCCAAAAATGCACCAAACTCACCCACCCCCCTCAGACCCAGCAGCCGCCGCCGCCGCCGCCGCCGACGACGACGACGACGACGACGAGAACACCTGGACCCCGCTCCAACTCGCGGCAGCGCAAGGCGACCTACCGCTAGTGAAGCAGCTCCTAACCCAGCAGCCACCACCACCGCAGAACGACCCCAACTCCGCGCCGCGGGGCTACTACGGCCAAACCGCGCTGCAAGCGGCCTCGCTCAACGGCCACCTCGCCGTCGTCGAGACGCTCTTACGCGCCGGCGCGGCCGTCGACCTCCCCGGCGGCAACAACGGGGGCCGGACGGCGCTCGTCCTGGCCGCGGGCGCGGGCCATCTCGGCATCGTGCGCCACCTGGTCGACGCGGCGGGGGCGGAGATCAACCGCCCGGCTCACAGGTACAACGGGCGGACGGCGCTGCAGGCCGCGGCGGAGGGGGGCCATGTGGCGGTGCTGCGGTGGCTGCTGGCGCGCGGGGCGGACGTCAACGCGCGGCCGGCCGGCAACCGCGGGCGCACGGCGCTGCAGGCCGCGGCGAGTGAGGGCCACGACGCGGTGGTGGAACTGCTCCTGCAGCATCCGGACAGGGTCGAGGTGAACGCCCCCGCGGTCCGGTATCAGGGGGTCACGGCGCTGCAGGGCGCGGCGTTGGCGGGACACCGCGCCACGGTGCGGCGGCTGCTGGCCGCGGGCGCGGACGTGAATGCCCCCGGCGGCCAGTACAAGGGCTACACGGCGCTGGATGCCGGGGCGGATGGGTCGATGCGATCCGGGAATCAGATGTGGACGGCCGCGCGGATAGCGGTGTCGCGAGGACATGGGGAGATCGCGCAGCTTTTGCGGCAGGTCGAGCAATCCCAGGTGGTAGGTGTGGATAGCTACTACGTTAGTGAATTTGAGGGCGGGCTGGTGAGATCGGGGTCAAGGTGGAGTCAACTAGCCTGTCGTCATTAAGCTTATCGGGTCAGGGTCCAGTTTCGGTCCCTGGGTCCGCAGGGTCTAGGTATATTTTGAGAATAGGTATGTTGCAACTTGTCGGCCGTCAAAGTATGCTTTACACTCGAAGGACGGGATATCAGGTACGGCTCGGGCATTACCGGGGTACAGCATTGGAAGCCACATTGGCTTGCGCACCATACACACGAAATCGTACACTAAAGGAAAACTAGGAATCTTGTCAAAAATGTCCATTAGATCATGTTCCTCCACCCTCCATTAGTTTCATCTATATACATTCCAAGTGACATCAGGGGGTATAGCTTTGACCAAGAATCCGAAAGAACGTTCACAATAAATCCATATGTCCAAACAAATCGCTATCTTCATGTCGAATGACAAAAAGCCAATATATCATCCAAATAAGTATGTTCATGTTGAAAGAAAAGCTCCATCCAGGGAGTCTTCTTCTTTTTTTCTCCTTCTCTCTAGAAAAGGCTTCACTCATCCTCGGGTGGCGCGTTGGCCAGAGCACTCTCAAGGGCACTAGTCAAGTCGATGTGGAAGAAGGGCCGGTTGATGCCCTGCACCACGGCTACCTTGCGCCGGTTGCGGTACGCCTTGCTGTCGTTCAGGTCATGCTGCAACTTGTCCTCGGGAACACTGCTGATGTCGGAGCCTTCCTCAACACCGTGGGTCTCCCGCTCCGTCGTGTGACCGTCGTGCTTGAGACCGTCCTCCTCATCACGCTTTTGCGCGACGTGCTGGGCGTGCTGGTTGTTCAGCAGCTCGGCGTGAGCGGCGGCGGACGACCGGCCTTCGATCTCGGCCACGCTGAAGATCGGCTTCCAGCGGTGGAATCCGTTGTCGGAGTTGGGGGTCGGGAAGCCGAAGCCGGCGGCGGCCAACGCCCGTTTGGTCCACCGGTTGTTGAGGTGGGCGAAATGCCACTGCACAGCGCGAGGGGAGGCGTAGAGGTCCAGTTGGTTGCGCACGTCGATCAAGTTCTGGATGGAGGTCACATCGACATTGTTAACAGAAGAGAAATCGAGGATGACGGCACGAAGCAGCGGCCGTTGCGAGCGCTGTTCCTCTTGGGCAGAGTTCTTGCGAGGGCCGGGGTCGTTCCAGGGGCGGTCGCCGCGCTGCTCGTAGGAGAAAGGAATCGTGCGTCGTGTCTCGCGGAAGATGGTCTGGACCAGGTAGTCGGTGTAGTGGTTCGCGTTCGGGTAGTTGAAGCCTTCGGAGAACCGGTAGATGAAGATACCAGGGTAGGGCTGTTCCAACCCCACCTCGGGGTTGGAGCCATCAGCGTGGTTGAGGGGAAGGAAGATTGAGCGACGAGAACCCTCTTCATCACGATCAGAGGAGTTGGCGTTATTACCCGAGCCATACTTGCCATCGCCTTGCACAAGATGATCACCGATCACTGAGTGAATGGTGACGCGGCCAAGGAATTGGCCACGGGCCTTGGCGACACGGAACAGGAGCACAGCCACGGAGACACAGATGGTGCAGTAAATGCCGTCCTCGATGGATGAGAAAACGGTGACGATAACACCAATGAAGAAGATGAGCGCATCGATAGGTGAGACGCGCCAGAATTGGTACACGGTGTTGGGAGGAGTGATCAGATCTCCGACGGCATGGATAATGACACCAGAAAGGGCAGCCTGTGGAATGTAGAAGAAGACGGCCGTCAAAGCGTAGATAGCAAGCAGCACAACGATAGCGGTGATGATACCGGCCAGTGGAGTCCGAACACCAGCCTTCGACTTGATGGCAGTGCGCGAGAAAGATCCAGTAGCAGGGTAAGCACCCAGGAAAGGACCCAGCAGGTTCGTGACACCAATAGCGACAAGTTCCTGAGACGGATCAATGGTGTAGTTGTTGACGCGACCGAAGGACTTCGAGATAGCGATGTGTTCGATCAGGAGGACAATGACGCAGGCAGGGAGCTGGCTGGCGAAAACCGAAATGACTTCTGAGTCGACACGAGGAACACCAGCGTCTTTGAAACCTGTTGGCGTAAAAAGCACCGTCAGTTCTAGAAACATCAAGGGATGTCAGGCAAACACATACCTCTTGGGACATTGCCAATAACATTGAACATAGGATCATCCTTGCGGTGCAGATTGACAGCAGCACTGATCATGGTGTAGAACAGAATCACAAAGACCGTACGTAAAGTCGACATGAAGAACCAAAGCTTGGCCTTCTGGGGGTATTTGCGAGCAAGGAAGTTGCAGGCGGAGCGAATCATGTACAGCATGGCGAGAGAGGTAACTCCCAGAGCAGCGTCGATACCAGCGGACGGCAGGTGTTTGAGCGAGTTGATGATGATCATGTACGTTGCATCGCGGGTGGAGAACGAGGCCGACTCGCCTAGCAAGTTCTTGACCTGGCCAGAGGCAATGTTGAGAGCCGAGCCCGTCATGAAAGCAGAAATGGCGGGCAATGGGATGAAATCCACGATAAATCCGAGGCGCAGCAATCCCAGAGCACAGACAATGCCACCACTAACTATAGCCAAGCACGATGCGACGACATGTCCCGGAATATTCGGGTATTTGTCTTCAGCGTCGAGGACGATGGTTCCGACCAGGGTAGACATAACGGCAACGGGCTAGATAGGTGGTTGTTAGGGACATCGTGGTTTCAAATGCAACGCGGAGAAACATACACCGATGGTGATATCTTTGGAGGTTGCGAAGAACCAGTATAGCAAGACACCCATGAAAGACGAATAAAGACCATATTGAACAGGCAATTCAGCCAGCTTGGCGTATGCCATTCCCTGGGGAACGACGACAGCGCCCACAGTGATACCTGAATGTCTCCGTTAGGCCCCGATAGTCATCGCATTTGAATGGGTGGCTTACCAGCAACCAAATCACCAACGAGCCATTGGGTGTTGTACCTCGTGATCCAGGACAGGAACGGGAATAGTCTGTAGAAGTATCGGCCTACATCGTGCCAGCTAGGAGTAATCTCCTTGAACCATTCGGCAGTCGTCGGTTCCTGCTCCAGGTAGGAATAGGTGTCGATCGTGCCGTAGGAAAAGGTAGATTCGCCTCTGGTGACCGGGTCTGCTTGAGCGCCCAGAGGATCCCGGTAGGCTTGTTTGATACCGAGACCCTTGGCCAACCCATGACCGACTTTGGTTGTGAAGTCTTTCGACATGTTCGTTGTGGTCGACTCGGGTGGCGATACCGGCGAGTTCTATGAAGTAGGGCTAAAAGTGCCCGGAACCACTAGACCACTAGGGTTCTGTTGGGTGCAGCAGATATGAACGCTTCACAGAAGTTAAAGAGAAGACACAAGAAGGGAAAAAGGCTCCAAATGTATATGAACCAGATCAACCTCCAGGATTATCAATCAGAGACCCCGGCAGACTTGGGGAGTGAGATAATATAGTCGTAGTAGTCCGTGGTGGAGGCGGGAACAAAGTGGGCTTAAAATGGGGATCGGAGAGCCAAGAAACGATGTCGTGATCGGGAGCTCCAAACGCGAAATATCAAAACTGCCCACCCGAAGTGTCCAAGCTCGGGATCTAACCGGACAATGGATGGACAAGACAAAGCTAAAGATCAAGCTAAATCAAGGGCCAAAGATGACAACCAGCACCTAGATCCCACTAATAGGCCTGGACTGGCTTCCAAGACTTCGCACTTCACCGATATATTGAATGGCTGTGTGGCTTGGGTGGCGCACCGCGGGGACTGGGCCTTTGCAACAACTATTTTGGAAGAGAGCCGAGGGGCCGCGCGGAATGTCCACGGACAAGAGGGGAGGAAGCACGGATGGATATCTATAAATCCGGGAAACAAAAAGGGAGAACTGCGGCAGTTTTATGTGGATGGCGTCGTCAGAGAGAAGTGGGTGACACACGACTCTTCGCCGCCCGTGGAATTTGATGCAAGTCGATCATCACCACTAGACTAGCACAGGCCCCAAGAGGCAACCGGGCATGGGGACGGGGAGACACTAGGATACACGGCGGCGGTCGACCAAGGACAAATTAACATCGTCCGACGTGGAAACCATCCCAAGAGCAAGCCGAACACAGGGAACGCGCAGGCGATGAAGGCAGCTGATCCACCCAGGGATCGCCCAAGGGCAAAGGAACAGAGGTAGGCGAGGGAGCCGTCTGGGAATTACTGCAGGCCCCGAGGAGATCCTTCACCACATCTGCATCGTGCATACACGGCAGTAGACTAGTCTAGAGAGGCACCGGGAGGGACAAGCTTGTCAAAAACCAAGCTGGCGTAAGAGAGTCGGTTTGTTTGAGTGGGTTCCTAGGCCGGAGAGGTTGCAGGGGGGGTTGCAGGGGGGGTTGCAGGGGGTGCGTGTGGTCTGGAAGCGACGAAGATGACGATGAGCCGTGGAGCAGCAACGTTTCCGCCCACCGGCGGGGCCCATCCATGGCTAACCGTGGGCAACTTTATCCGCCCGGTACGTAGTAGTCTAGTACCGTAGATTCCATCTCGTGTAGATCTCTTGATAAATTATGATCCGGGTGAAAGGAGTCAAAGGACAGGATTTGACAAATCTGGGTGAGACCACAAAACGACACTATGACGAGAGCAAAGCGATAGTGATGGAGAGGATGGAGTGGAATGGAGTGGAATGGAGAGTCGAAGTGGAAAAGTCTCCATCTGATAATTACTGCCAAGGCAGACCGCCCGCCGACCGAGGAGATTTTCATGGAATCTTGCCCAATCAGAGAAGACCCAGGGAGATGGCGACCCTCTCTGCGGTGGACAGACCGAAACCAATGGGAACTGCGGCAGAACACGCCATCGTAGGGGTTGATGGTG